AGTGAGTAGAAACAGTCAAATTGCATCTCGTTTTCACTGCTTGGAAGAAGGCTGATTGCCAGAATCTTCCGAGGTTCAGTGTCAGAGCCCTCCAGCTACTTCAGCCTGGGTACTTGCACTCAAGAATGAATTTACTTCCCATGGCCATGTCCTGAGTGCCAAGAGGGTCCTGTATTCCCCATTCCCTCACCCCATCACAGATGAGAGACCCACAACTGCAACAACAACAACAGATGCAAAGCAGAAAACACAGGCTGTCCCCAAAATTGCAGATGACCCACAGGTTTCTACCACTGCTTCTATGCCTACCCCTCCTTTGTGGTCAAACTTGATGTCCCTTCCTTCAGAGTGTCAAGACAGTTCTAGCTTCACAGGGCCTGCAGCCGGGTAAGCCAGAGTTAACCCCTTCTGCCTTGCAGGGGTCCCCATTAGGAGCCTTCTCTCTTCAAATATTGGTAAGTTTGTGTGTTAGTTTTAAATGATGTTCTCCTTGGAAGCTCTAGAATTCATTTTTAAGTGAATTTTAGAGGCTAGATTTTATTTCTTTTTCAAAGGCACATTATTTTTCAGCACGCTGATCTTTCTGATTCTTTATCACTTTCTAAAAATAACTGCTGGTGAGCTCATAAAATCATTAGTTAATCCCACTGGGACTTAGTAATGCATATTACAGACCTCCCGATTTTTATATATTAGATTTTCTCAAGGATTCCCTTACCTGCTATTATCAACATAGCTCTATTGACAGGGTCTTCATTACTTCCTAATTGCCCATACTTCTTTTTCTTGTTAAAGATCAATTTTTAAAATCAAGCATTGTCCTTTTGAAAATACTATAGACATGTTATCCTCTTAATATTAATGTGTTTCATATCTTTCTAGTTTGTTTCCCATGTCATCCAAGGAACCTACAAAGTTTACTCATTACCTTCTGTCTTAAAAATGCATTCCTTTTTGGGGGGTTGCATAGTAAGGTGCAAGGGGAACATGCACCTGGGAAAATCTGATTTGTATATGTATACATGCACACATGCATGAATGTTGGGGGAGAGTGTAACATCATTTTTAGAAGGATTATTTGTTTTACCACAGTATTATTTTCTCTGTTACAGGATTCACTGACACAGTAAATAATCAACATCTATGTTTTAAATTAAGATGTATTTGTTTATTTATCTGCAAGGCAGATCCAGAGAGAAGGGAAGAGAAAGACAGAGTCAGGGACAGATGGAAATATCTTCTACCCACTGGTTCATTCTCCATATGGATACAGCAGCTGTTGGTCCAGGACAAGGCCAGAAGCCTGGAACTCCATTTGGTTTGCCATGTGAGTGGCAGGGGCCCAAGTCCATGAGGCATCTTCTGTTGCCTTCCCAGGTCCACTAGGAAGGAGCTGGTTTGGAAGTGGAGCAGCCAGGACTAACAGTGCTGAGACACATGATGGCTTAACCCACTGCGTCAAAACGCTGGCCCTGATAATATACTTCTTTCACTTTTTAAAATTTTCTATTTCCAGAAATTGCTTTTGCATACAACTTTTTTTAAAGATTTATTTTTTTTTATTACAAAGTCAGATATACAGAGAGGAGGAGAGACAGAGAGGAAGATATTGTGTCCAGTGATTCATTCCCCAAGTGACTGCAATGGCTGGTGCTGTATCAATCCGAAGCCAAGAGCCAGGAACCTCCTCCAGGTCTCCCACATGGGTGCAGGGTCCCAAGGCTTTGGGCCGTCCTTGACTGCCTTCCCAGGCCACAAGCAGGGAGCTGGATGGGAAGTGGGGCTGCCAGGATTAGAACCGGCGCCCATATGGGATCCTGGAATGTTCAAGGCAAGGACTTTAGCCTCTAGGCCACAGCACCGGGCTCAACATACAACTTTTTAAAGGGTTTATTTATTTACTTGAAGGAGAATGTTAGTGACACAGAGATCTGTCCCCTGACTCACTCCCCAGATGACCTCAACTGCTGTGGCTGAAACCAGGAGCTTCTTCCAAGTCTCCCAAATGGGAGCATAGGAGTCATCCTCCACTTCAGGTGCTTTAGCAGGAAGCTGGATTGGAAGTGGAGTAGCTGAGATTTGAACTCTCACTCAAATGAGATGTGGGCACCATAGGCAGCTCCACCACAGCACCCTAGCTCCTAAATTTAACTTTATAATCACTACTGTGAGGCTGGTGTTGGGCATAGCTGGTTAAGCTGCCACCTGCAATGCCAGGACCCAGTATGGGTACCAATTCAAGTCTCAAGTGCTCCACTTCTTACCCAGCCCCGAACTAATGTGCCTGGGAAAACAGCAAAAGATGACTCAAGTCCTTGAGCCCCTGCACGTATGTCAGAGAGCCAGATGAAGTTCCTGGCTCCTTGCCCCAGATGTTGCAGCCATTTGGAGAGTGAACCAGCAGAGAGAAGATATATATTTCTATGTCTCTCCTTCTCTGTGTAACTCTGCCTTTCAGATAAACAAATTTTTTTTAAAAAAGACAACTATTACATAAAATGAGGGACAGTTTTAGAATAGTATATTCAAAATAAACATCAGGATTTTGGCTGCTCAGTAGCACATTTTGGCATGGTCTATTTCACCCCTCGCCCCTGCAAAAAAAAAAAAAATCTAAGCACTAAGATCAAGTGACGAGGAGTGTGGACAAGGCTGACGTGTAAGGTGCACTTGGATCAGTAGTGTCAGGAAGAAGTAAGGGAAACAGACACGACAGAAGTTGTGGTGATGTTTTCATCTCTCTTCTGCTATTTGAGCATTCCACTCTCACTGCTATTTTTAATCATTGTTTTTTGTTTAATTTCTAAATGCTAGTATGTGAATGTAGCCTGCTTTGTCAGTTCCATTACAGGATATCTTTCTTAAATATGTAGTCTCTTGGGAAAACAGCACATTTTAGCAATTTGATCTTTCTCATATGATTAATAGTCACATCCTTCATACTTGAAAATTTCTAATCCTTTTGGCCATGTATGCTCTCTTTAATCTGCCTTGAAATCTGCTGTAGTTTGTTTTTTAAAGCAAACAATCAAAGTTAAGGATAAATATTCAATGTATTTATTTCAGTTAGATCTTCTTGCCTTTTGATCATTTCCCTATGAAAAATGTCATTAACAAACAGTAATGCAAAAGAAACATGTACAAAATAAAGGAGAACTATTTATGCTAGGTGCAAGGATAACAGGGTATGTGTCAGATTATTGGGAGATTAAGATTATTGCCTCCGACAAGTAACAGGTTCATCTCCATGCCAGACCGTGCTCACCTAAATGCAGTTGCTCCTTCCGACCACTCCCCCAACCAGACATACCCCTCCAGAGTTCTAGAATATCTCCAGAGACCACTGGATGGGACTGGAAGAGGCACCCTCTTTGGATTGCAACATTGGAATCCTTTAAATTGGTTTTATAAATTAGGAAAGTGATTTCACCCCAAAGGTGAACTACCTAGTTAGAACAAGCCTGCCCGTCCTAAAGGATCCAGAAACGATTCCCTGAAAACTTGGTAGACATTTAATACGTGGAAACCCTTTGCTCCCTGCTGTGTGTGAAGCTCTCCAGACTAGGAGTGTGAAGTTTGAGAAATAGAAGGGCACAGTCCCAAGGGAGGGTTTTGATAAAGGGAAAGTTGTACTAGAGTGGAGCCCGTGGCCTTGCTACAAAGAACACTGTCACGTTCCTCCACATAAGTGCAGTTTGTTAATACAGACTACTTTTTTTTTTCTTAACAAAAGGAGAGTACAATTGCATTTTTTTTAAAGATTTATATTTGCTTTTATCGGCAAGGCAGATTTTCAGAGAGAGAGAGGGAGAGACAGAGAGCTTCCATCTGCTGGTTCAACCACAAAGTGACCACAAGGGCGAGAGCTGAGCTGATCTGAAGCCAGGGGTGAGGAGCTTCTTCCAGGTCTCCCACGTGGATGTAGGGTCCCAGGACTTTAAACTATCCTCCGCTACCTTTCCAGTCCACAAGAAGGGGGCAGGATGGGAAGTGGTGCAGTCAGGACATGAACCAAGCGCCCATATGGGATCCTGGTGCTTGCAGGGAGATTAGCCAGCTGACCCCTAGGCTGCATTTTTGACCCAAATTTTCACCTCTTATACCCTGTTGTGAATAGATAACTTAATGGCCTATTGCTGCCATACCAGCAAAGTAAAAAGTGCCATTCTTAGCTTCTCCCAAGGTGATGCATCTTTAATGCTACAAAGCTGCTCTGGAATATCATGCAAGGGTGAGCATTGAGGAGTGGTGCCGGTCCTGTTATCGAAACCCAGGACTCAAGCAGAGTCCTCATCAGCCACAGCTACAGAGCTTGTGTGGTGCTGTTATCACCAGGGAACTCTGCTCATCCTTCAGATGGCCTGTCGCCAAGAAGGAAGAAATAAAGGAGCTGAAAGAGCTTCCGACCAGGGACTCCTCCGAGCCCTCCAGCTTCATACAATGAGCTGGTTTTCAAGGGGAAGGGGGTGGGGAGGAATTATGAGAGAAGGCTCACAAATTGATCCTAGCCTGGGTGACACTAGGAGGTGTGAGTGTGACCATGGAGGAACTGCCAAATGTGGCTGGAAGCTTAGGAACTGGGAGGGAAGAAAAACAATTCACAACTTTTTCTTTGGGAGGCGGGAGGGAGGCAGGGTCTGAATGTGTTTTGGGGTGGGCCATGTAATATGCATCTGAGAATAGTCTTTCAAAAGGAAGAAATATGGATTTTGAACTATTTCATCACTTAACATTCAGTTTAGTAGTTGTTACTGAAGAGAAATTAGGGTTGCCAGCATTGTGGAAATAGAGATGGTCAATTCATAAACCTATCCATCCAGAAGCTTGGATTTCTTTTACAGACAGAAGCCAAATCTCACTTAAAGTCGGCATGTCTGAACACGTCTAGACTGCCTCCCTTAGGTCGGGGGAATAAATGCCACCAGTTCCAAAGAATCCTGTAAGACTACCATCTGAATACATCAAATTATAAGTAATAAGAATATCCAGATGCTACATACACATTTTAAAGAACTTGAAAGTGTACAGCCCCGTGATGATGGACACGTGTGCGTGTGTGTGCACAGATATATACACTACTCTTTCCAGAACTGTATAAAGAATGGTCAAAATCCTGCTAGGCACTTTAGGGTTAACCAGAACCTACACTTATCCCCGCCACCTTCTGTTGAATTATATGGAATTTTTGCCTAAAATGAGTAAGCAAAGAGAAAGAAGTGACCTAATTTTTTGAGCCTGAAATACAGTAGTATCAGAGGGTATTTCTCTAGTGTGACTCCAGGCCTGGGGCTCTGCTTGCTAATGTGGGTTCAGGAGGCTGCCTTGCAGGGGACTGGAGGCTGCCCAGCATCCTTGCGAGGCCACCTCCAGAGAGCGGGGTCCTCCAGAAGGGCCAGCTCCCACGGCGAAGTCACATGAACCGGCCGCAGCCATAGCATCCTTATTGTTGTAACTCCTAGATTGTGATACTGTCACAAAACTGTTGCTAGGCAACAAATGTGGTTACCAGGTCTCAGCGAATAGCTGAAGGGGAAAGCAAAGTGTTGCACCATTGTAGAGTAACCATAGCAATGACCTACTATTACAGACTAAAGAATTATCATTAGCAACGTTAAAGTATCAGACAGAGGCCTTGAATCCAGAGGCTTCCAAGCAGTATCTGCATAATTGAGTGATCTAGGGAGAGTTCAGCCGTTCCCATCCGTTATTTCCGTGGAAGAGCCTTAGTAATTACTCTTTTTATTATTTTTTTTAATTTTAAAAATCATTCAGCAATGCAGCTATTGGTAAAATAATGTAAACTCTTCACATGTTGTCAGGAACAATCAGGGCCTCTTTGCTCGGGCATTCTTATAGCTCCCTCAGTATTATTCGCCGCCAGTATTAAACCAAAGGTAATTTATTTGGAAACCAGAGTAGATCCAAGCCACAGAAAGAAGCTGTGGCACAAAAAAATCACCTCACACCCTCACAACCAATTTGTGCCTGCCCCAGTTCCTCCTACCAAATCAAGAGGCCTACATGCTCTTTTAGTAGTCACCGCTATGAGCCATGTCCTTAGCATCTGTAAATCGACCCCCACTATATCCGGGACAACGGCTCCCACAAGACGACCCCCCCCCCCGTCATTAGTCCCCGTGGGATCCAGCCCCCCAGGAGCCAGCCCGGGTGATTCTCCCCCAGTGACCTTGCAAAGTGATCTGGATCTGCTTCTGGGCGAAGCTAGAAAAAATGCTATTTTGGGGTAGTGGGTTTTTGTTTTGTTTTGACCCCCCTCCCTTTGGGAAGCAAAGAAACTTGGGTGCTGCGGGGTGGGTGTTGGAGCGGCTCCCGCGCGCTAGGGAAGCCAATCCCCGCGCGCGCCGCGCCGGGAAGGTGGGAGGTTTCCTGGCAGCGGAAGGAGGGGCCCTGCGCGCCGAGCGTCTCCATTGGCCCGGAGGGGCGACCCGCGGGGGCAAGCCGGGGCCGCGCCCCGCGTCAAGGACAGCCGGAGGCGGCCGGAGCCCCTGGGACCTGGCGGCAGTCCGCGTCCCTCCCCTGGGTCGGTCCCCAAAGCCTGACAGCACGGGGTGTGGGGGTGAACCCTCAGGTGCAGGTGCGCCCTGGCGAGGAGGGGGCGGCGCCGCGGTGGGGGTCGGGACTGGACGGGCGATCGCGGTCCTGCGCATCGGCGAGGGGCCCTGGACGCGGGCGCGCCCCGCAAGAGGCCGCAGCGTCACCGACCCTGACTCGTGTTTTGTGTCGCGTTGCAGGCACCGATCGCCACGAGCTCACGTCCTGGAAGAGCTTCCCGTCCATCTTCAAATTCTTCAGCGAAGCGTCGGAGGCCAAGTCCAGCTCCCTGAAGCCGGCGGGGACGCGGCGCTCGCACCGAATAAAGCACGAGGAGCTGTGAGGGCCGGGGGCGGCGCGGAGCCCCAGGCAGCGCGCGTCCACTTGCCGGCCGCCCCGCGCGCCCTCGCCGAGCCCACGCGGGCCCTCATTAGATTGTTTTCTTCCCAGAGCACAGGGTCGTGATGTATACATCTAAATAGCGTTTTGCATTATTTCTAGATGAGTGCAACTGTCAAAGCAATATGGGTTCACTGGCCGTGCTTCCTGCGGGCTGGGCGCAGGCTCCGTGCCGCCCGTCTGCGCGCAGATTGAGGCTGACAGTGCCCGGCCCCGCGCTGCCCGCGCGCCTCTAATTGCCCCGCTGCGACCTCCCGGCGCAGGACCGAGCGGCGTCTGCGCGGTCTTACCGCCCGCCTCCGCCTGCCCTGCACCTGCCCCGCCGCCTGCCCCGGCTCAACCCACTCTGCTCAGTGGCAGGGTGGTGAGGTTTTGCCTGGGGACGAGCTCTGTCCCTCTCCATCCATTTCACTCTCCCTTTCTAGCACCTCCATCCCTCGCTGTCTCCTCCTGGGGTGTGTGTCACTGTAAAGTCAGAACAGAAGTACTGTAACATTTCAGGCGTGTAAGTTGTCCTCTGCCTACAGCTCTGTTTTCATTTTGAGACCCCAAGGAGAACTTTGCCTAAAACATCTATAAGCTACCGGATCCGCAAGACTGCTCAGAATCCTTCCAGCTGGATGAGAGCTGTATATAAATACACACACACATCTCTAGTTTCACGTGAGACTGTTTAAAACAGAGATTGTTGGAGCCTAGGTGTGAAAGGTTTTTCTGTTTTCCCCTGGAGTTTCCCAGCTTTGTCCTTGCAGTTGATATTTTAAGTATACATGTGGCCATTGTATTTGGGCTAACACCAATTTTTGCTTTTTAAAAACTCTTGAAGAAACGTGCCATGGTCTTTGAGCATTCCTAGAATGATCCATTCCGAGCTTTCCTGTGGGTGGGCCCTCCGTGGGACGGGATTTAGGGGGTTGGTGAAGGCACCCCGTTCGGGCTGCTGGGCCCTTTGCTTCAGGAAGCCCAAATGGGGCTACAGTGGGTTCTTAGCATTTTCTACTCCAACGGGAAGGAAGAGATTGGGGGTGAAAGGTTTTCTCTCTGTCCAACCGTTCAATTTGTAGCACTGCATTTCCTCTGTAGGCTTTCACACTACATTTTCAACAATTCAACATTTTAATACAACTGAGATCTGGCCAGCACTGTGAAATACAAGAGATAAAAATAAGTTGGGATTTTGCTGATTTTTAAATTAAAATATTAAATTTTAACATCATCCATTTTTAATTACTTGAAGGACTTAATTACCTAGCGGGGATTGTTTCTAATAAGTGAGACTCTGGATTTAATCTTTTTCAGTCTTCTTAAAAAGTATATGCAACAATTCCTCCCCCTGTCTGGTTTGGGATTATGGTAAAAATGTACCCAAAGATGCCTGAAATGCTAGCAGGATAACCTAGGATCGGTCATCTCCTGGGTCAGTGTCTTTATATTATGAGCTGATTTCAGCAAGTCGGAGAACTCTTATTTCATGCCCTTGGCGTCCAGGCTCAGTCATTGGTTCTGTAGTTTCAACAATGGCAAAGTACAGTGATCTTTGCCCAGTCATTGTATCTGTGTGTCTTTTGATGTTACTTAAGCAGAAACAACATAGAAGGAGAAGTCAAAATGGCATTTTTTTTTTAATCCGGCTCCTGGACGCTTAAAATGTACAGCACCAACATTTCCAAGCACACGGGTCTGTGAGGTCGACCCTTTTTATCTGATCTTTCCTGTTAGATGTAGTAGTGACCTGTGTCAAACAATGGTGTCTTCTAGTCAGAGGACTGAGGATTGATGTGAACTGAGCGTGTTTTTCAAACTGTTAGATGTATGGTGTTTTCGGTTTATGAAAATGTTCACAGGAAACTGATTTTATAGCATTTGTGGGGAGGGAGGGCAGCTCTTGTGCAATGCTAGATTTGTGAAGCTTCCGCTGCTGAATTATTTCAAATTTGCTCCGCCTGTAAAGGAAATCGCTCCTGTTCCTTCTCTCCAGTTTCTCACCTCTCCAGTAAATCACTGTGTAATCGCCTTTAATACTTTCAAACTACTGGATTGTTGGGCCTTGTTTAACTATCTGTGGAGAGCTATTTGCAAACTTTAGTTGTGTAAATGTAATTTCTACTTGTGGATGTGAGCTGAGGCAACCCAGAGGGAGCCGAACAAACCCTTCCAGACCCCCAACTGGTTACTGATCAAATTCCCAGCCATGCAGGATTTGTTAACCTGTTGATGATGGGTTTGTTGGCATAAATGTAATAATATTGTTCACCTCAATTTTCCTGGACTAACAACAAGCGGTGGGTAGTAACCCGCCTGCCTGGGAGCGGCCAGAGTTCACAATATTTCCACTCTGATCCTCTCCTCCCCCTTCCAGCTTCCTACACCAGGTTCGTGGGAGAATATAAGCTTCAAGTTTAGGCTGCAGGCTTTTTATTTTCATGACATTCCTAGTTCTTAGAGTAAGTGAGCACTTGTTCATAAATCTGAGGGTCAAACTAGTCCACTTGAAACTTACAAGCCAAGTAGGTAGCTGCTTTGGAAGTTTCCCAAGCTGGCCAGCCATGCGGTCATTCAAGTTCTCATGGATATCTGAAGGGGAGCCCATCTACTTGGGATGGTTCTTTTCTCACACTTCTGTCTTGTGCTTTGACCTGGATTGCATCATTGTGTATTCAAGAAAGAAAAAAAAAAGCACAAGAGTTTCCTATATATACATATTTCTGTTTGCCATTTTAAAATAAAAATAGTTTTCCCAATAAATAGTGGTGTATTATTCTTGCATAAAACTTCCTTTATTCATAACTATATAGAGATTTGCTTAACACAGAAGCAAAAAGAATGATGGGACAACATCCACCACCACTTTAAACCTCACAGGTACTTGCTATTGTCATTGCTGCAAGCCAGTATCAGTTTGCCTCGCACCGTTCACAAAGCTAACAGTTTTACAAGACTTTTACTGTCTGCAATGGCTCCTTAGCTAAGACATTTGTACTTTTTACTGTAAATTGACAGATTCCTGTTGGTGTCTATAATACTGATTCACTTAAATATTCCACTATAGCAAAGGAAAATATTTCTTAAGAAACTTTCCCCCTGCCTCACTGGGGTGGGAGGAGAATGTCTTGAAATAAGAATGTGAGACATTCGCATCTTTGAAATATGGGTGGGCAAAAGAGGGGAGGGAAGATAATGGTAGTGATTATTATATGATTACTTATTAAGGGCTGCAATAATATAAAATAAAAGACTCCAGGAGGTACTCCCATTCAAAAATCGAATACTTCCCTCCATTCCTTCCTTCCTTGTATGGCATGACTGAGTGGGAGTCTCTTGGATTGTTCATCTTCCTTTTATCTAATATTCTATTAATCTCCGAAAAAGATCAGTTTGAGTCTGGGAAAGGGTTTTTAATCAACACTTCACAGAGCTTAAGGCTGCCCTACCTAGAGCATCAGCTTTGTTGGCGGGGCTTGAGGGGGGGAGGTTAGACTTAAAGCATCGCGACTGTCATGCACTGTACTGAAAGGATGTCCACCAAGTGGAAGACGTTAAAAAGAGGGAAATAGGCACAAAGTCGATTGACAGAGATTCAGAGAATGGGAGTAGGGTTCAAAGCATTCCAGCATTTAAATTGAAATCTGTGTCATGTTTAAAAGGGGGGGGGGCAACAATGATAAGTTTTAAACCTCACACTTAGGAGGGATGAATGTTGATTGAATTGATTCATTTGGATCAATGTTTTTAAAGCTTAACACCACTGCTGTTTCATGTGGTGATGTCTTTAGCAGTCAGTGGTCTGACGTGAGCCTTCTCACATTTGCTCCGTGGGACTCTTCATGAGATCTAGAGTTATGCACAGCCTGTGCGAGAGTAACTCTGCAATCAGGAGACCTCTGTACCTAAAAACATGATCAGAGTGAGCAACTCCTGCTAAATTCTTAGCAGAAGGGGTTTTACAGGAGGAGCAACTGTGAATGAACCACACAAGGTTCAAGGTGCCAAATACCCTAGTTGCTAGCTAGGAGTAAACTGTTCTGAAAGTTTGACCATTAAGTGGACAAAACAGAATAACCAGTCTTTTCCCCTTGAATGTGAAAAATTTGAAAATGGAAATTTGACGAATTCCATGTGGCCTTCCAGGCAACTTTTCCAAGTTCTTTGCCTGGAGATTTGTGAAAAATCATTCACTGTGTGCTTTGCAATGCTGGAGTTGAGTTCTGTTTAAGACAGGCACCAGACATGTTTCTAGAAAGAAATCTAGAAAGGTCTCAGATCTTTCTTCCCCAATCAATCCACTTTGTCTTCTTTGGCTATCACATTGGGTAATATGAGAAAGTGGCATAGGTAAAATAATGTCCAACTGTACTTTGCGGTCAGCCTGCAGTACCAATACAAAGAATCTGAAATGAAAAGACAACCAACACCCCAAGAATGATATGTCTCTTTTTAAAGTTTACAATTTGAATAATGAACTTGGATAGAAACTTGGCAGGAAAGCAAACCATGGCACCATCACATCACCAACCATTTTCACTTTTCTGTCCAATTTCAGAGTGCATGTGTTTGTGAGTATTTCACTAGATCAGTGACAGCTCTTTATTTGCATAATTATATGCTCTGGTCTGAAGAGAAAACTAACCCCCAAATTTCATGGGTCACCAAACTGCAACAATCAATGTTTTATCACATATGCTAAGCAAAAATCTAAGAAGCTATATGAAGGTTCTTGGGGAGTTTTTACTCCTCAGAAAATTAAAAGAGTTTTTCTCTGCTGAATGGATTCAAAATCTTTCCAAGTTCTTTGTAACTGAATTCTGTTTGAAGGCAAAACTAGAGATTAACATGTAGATCTGTGTAGTAGACTCACTGGCATTACTTCAAAGTGGCTCAAGAAGAACAGCATGTTTGGTGCATTCAACTTTTTAAATCTAAATACTATCCTTCATGCTATGAGGAAAAATTGTCACTCAAATTATGATTCATTAAAGTGATGTTCAGATTATCTATGATTGGATATAAAGTTCCTAGCCTTTTAAATAACTCAGGGTGTTTTTTTTTAGTAACGTAATAGGAAAATATGTATATATGCACATATGCATTGTCTCCCACACCCAAACTTATCCACCCTTATGTCCATTCCATTTGAAATATACAAAATTCTCGGTGTTTGTTGTGTCTTATTGGTCCCTGGAACATAATAGGTGCTTGGTACATGTTGGTCACTATGAATGTTTAAAACTTCCTATTAAATAATTTGTTTATGTTCAAAATCTGCAAGGCATTGTAATATCTTTCTTTGGATGTCTCAAGTTCATTTGCATCTGGTATCTAAGTATATAATATGCATTTGCATGTAAGGCTGGATTTATTTCATTAAAGAAAGATTGATTAAAATTTTGTGTGTCTTTAGTTTGTAGGCAATCTGCCAAATATGAAATAGAATGCATAATAGAGACATGTACAGACTGACATTTTGTGAGGTTATTAAAATCCTAGAAAATATGACTCTACTTGGATTCTTAGGGAATCTAGTGTGGGATCCTGAAAAAGACTTAGATACCAATTTCACTTAACAGCATAGAATGCAACACCTTTCATTTGAAGTGACAGGTTTCTGCATCAATTTGCTGTCATAAAGAAAAACTTTGGAAGAAAAACAAGAATTGGGGGAAACCACTCTAAGAATTGCATGATTGTTATGTATTTTATCCTATATAAAGGACAAGAGGTTATTAGTTCAGGCTTCAGAATTTCTCTTAAATACTGACATTATTTCAAATGAAAAATTTGTTTCCTCCCAGTTTTTATTTAAAGTTGACTTTTAAGTGGAAGGCATTCCCTTGCCCTTGTAATGCAAAAACTTAAACCTCTGTATATCCAGAATACTGCCCCAAATCAACACATCCCAGCTTTACTAAGCTCCTTCCAGAACTACTCCACCAGTTACATCCAACTCAGATAACCTCCCCCACCATCTACCTCCCCAGAAGCTGTCTGGACCGAAGATCATGGATTCTTCTAGGTGAAAACTCCTCAAAACCGAATCTGTAAAAGCAAATAAGTCAAGTTTAGTGTTTTTATCAGGTGAAATAAATCAGTAAGGAAATGAGTCAAAACATAACTTCAGATTTATAAACTATGTGTTGTACTCATTGCATTTTATTCTGTTAAAGAAATAAGC